TTTTCCAGTCGTTTCTTCCATGAAAGAGCCTGCATGGTGCAATGGTTTGAGTTTTGGACTAGGGCTCTGGACAAGTCAGAGATGTGAAAATCTGCTTAGCCATGAAAACCGCCTTGAGTCCTTGTACCAAGAGGAAGGTGGGAAATAATAATAATAATAATAATAACAACAACAACAACAACAATCCACCGGGTGATTTTGCACAAGTCACCTTCTCTCAGCCTAAGAGGAAGGGAATGACTAAATCGCTCTGAACCAACCTTGCCAAGAAACCTTTAGGTAGGGTTGCCATAAGTCAGAGTTGACTTGAAGGCATATGGCAACCACAAAATATCATACAGAACCAGGCAAAGACAATCCAGCCAGACTAGACTTTTAGAGCAGTATAGATTTTGGTTGACCGTTGGATAAGAAGAGCCCAAAAATAGAGGACAGATCTTTGCTTGCTTAGGGAGGAGGATGTCTTTTGCTAGGAGGACTTTAAGATGTTTAGAGATTGCTATGAAGTCAGTTCTCAGTCTTCTCTTTTCCAGGCTAAACATAGCCAATTCCATAAGCTTGGTTTCCAGACTCGTTGCCTATATAAGTGTGGGATCCGACACAACTATTGTTGGGTATATTTTGTGGCTGTGTGCTTTCAAGTCATTTCTGACTTATGGTGACCCTAAGGTAAGCCTATCACAGGGTTTTCTTGGCAAGATTTGTTCAGAGGAGATTTACCATTGCCTTCCCCAGGGCTGAGAGAGTGTGACTTGCTCAGGGTCACCCAGTGGGTTTCATGGCTGAGCCGGGAATTGAACCCTGGTCTCCAGAGTCACAGCCCAACATTCAAACCACTACACCATTCTGGGGTATATTTACGATAGACTGACAGTGAATATTTTGGCCTATAAAACCCAGTATTTCTCCAGCCTGGTGGCCTCCAGACAGGTTGGACTACACTTCCATTGGCAGGGATGGGAGCTGTAGTCCAATCCACTTGAAGAGTTCAGGTTGGGTGGTATTCATATTAAAGATGATGATTGTTAAATCACCAGGCACAAAGACATTATTTAATATATTTCCCCTTGGATGCTTTCTTTCCTCCGTACTTTGCCCTTCGCCTCACCTTCTGAAGACGCTTGTTGTCAGTCCTCAAAGCCAATTCATTAATAGATTTTTTGTCTCTCACCCTTTTATCAACAGCAGCAACAAACAGAGCAAACCTTCAAACCATCATAGCTCTGATGTGTGCCGATTCCAGCAATGAACACTTTGAAAGTGAGGTTGTTTTTGTTTTTTTTTTAGCTTTATTATTATTTTGCAAAGGCTTCCCAGTAGGTTCCTTCCACCAATTTTTAATGGCTGGGTGTGTTTTTTAAATGTCACAGCACACAAATATTGGGAAAAAAGAGTACTAGGCAAAGTATATTAAATATTTGAAGGGATGTCATATTGAGGATGGAGCAAACTTGTTTTCTGCTGCTCCAGAGACTAGACATGGAGCAATGGATTCAAACTGCACAAAAAGAGATCAACTTTTCTTCTTGCTGTGTAGAAACCTATCCCTCTTCTTTCCATCGTATTCCTGCCTCTGGCCCCAGATTTTTTTTCTTCTTAAAGAACTAAAGCCCAGGAATAGATACATCGGCTGAATTAACTGAGATCCTAATGATTTCTCCTTGCTTTTGAGAGCCACCATTGCCTTAGTGACTTGAGGAGCTCTTGCACTGACTCCTGCTTTTCTCGTAGGCTTATATGTATGTCGCACAAAATGTTTTGTGTAGTTTGAATTCATGCTTTATCAAGGGAAGGAGCGAACAGTTTAGCAGAGGTTCCTGAAGACAGTCTCTGGGATTTTATTTTTAGAAAGGGTCCTGCAGGTTCTTCTGCTTGGAGATGACCCGACTGCTCCGACATGTCTTCTTGGGTCCTTTCCAAATCCCCAAAGAACCCTCCCCACATTGTGTTCACCTTTCTTTAAATATCCTCTGGCTAATTCCAAGGAGGGCTGTCAAATTTCTGGAGGGTTGGTGGTTGTTGCTGTTGTTTTGCTTTGGTTTCTGTTACCATGCCTTCTGCAAAGCAACCTACTATGATGCTTTTTCTTTGTAAACAGAAGGATGAAAGAAAACCTTTGCTGTTTCTGAATTAACAGAGGCCCATCCGGCTGCCGTGAAAAGGCACAAGTCAAAGCAAAATCCAAAGAGGTGGCAACCCCAGTTTCCAAGCTGAATTGCAAAGCTAGAGACAGGCTCTTTCAAAGGCTCCGATTTAAGAGAGGCTGCGCAAAGGAAAATCCCACTAGGTCTTGCTGTCCATGGAAAATAAATACTCGGCCTTTGTGCCAACATTCCCTTTCTGCAATTTGATCGGGAAGACACAGGAACTATCTCAGAAGATAGACCTGGAAGACCCATGTTTATGGCATCAGTCGCATTGCCAAGGGCAGCTAATGGCTTCCATGTCGGGGATGCAGTGGGTTTGCTATCGGCATTAGTCTAAAACTTTAAGGAGCTCTCCAAGGTGATGAACAGGTTGAGGGCCCTGAATGGGTCCTTGAAACTTTGGACTAAAACCCAGAGCAAACTGATCTCCCTATGGACACGGAAGCCACCCGCTGACACCTCAGATTGGCCGCCTTGAGTATAGCCACGAAGGACTGTGGATGGAGTGTTAGGCAAAGTATATTAAATACTTGAAGGGATGTCATATTGAGGATGGAGCAAACTTGTTTTCTGCTGCTCCAGAGATTAGACATGGAGCAATGGATAGGAAAAGATATTCCACCTAAACCCTAGGAAAAAGATCCTGGTGGTAAGATTGATAGTGGAATATGCTAACTGAGAGAGTCTTATTCTTTGGAGATTTTTTAATACATTTTTCAGGAGTGCGTTGATGGTATATTCCTGCATGGCAGGGGGTTGGACTGGATGGCCCTTTGGGTCTCTTCCAACTCTATGATTGTATTAAAGCTATGAATGAGATGTATAGCAGTGGCCTTTCTTTCTCCCCCAAGAACTAAATGGAACCTCCAGATTCAGAGGCAGTATACCTCTGAGTCCCAAAGGTTGTGGGATTAAAACTGTTCCCTTCCCATCGGGTTTAGGAGTGGCTTCCCAGAGTCACCAGGTTGAAGAAAAACAGAAGGCTGAACTAGGCCAACCTCTGACTTTCTCTAGCAGGATTCTTTTAATATTCTCAGGCAGATGCAATGAGAAGAATCAATGGATTAAAGACTGCTGCTAGGTCAGATGCAAAGGACACTGTTCACCTTTGCATGAATATTCCTAGATAATCTCAATCCAAAGAATTGCAGAGATCAGGAAACGTTACATCTTGGTCATGCTGGCAGGAGCATTCTGGGGAAATATAATGTAATATTTCCAAGCAAGGGGAATCACTTTTTATTCTCAAAGGTTTTTGGCTGTCAGTGAAGTATGTCAGCATTTCTGATTTTAAAAAGAAGAATGAGGAGGAGGATGCTTTATATCACATGTTTGAGAAGCATTGCACTTCTCAATAAGGGAAAATAAGGCCACTATGTTTCTGCTTTTTATAAACTGGGGAGACAGAGTTTGGTAAAGTTACTGTTTGGACTACAGATCTGGTTGCAGGATTCTGGGAATTGTATTCCAAAAATTAAAATGTCCAAGCTCTTTGGCTTCGCCCACCACTACCACACACACAGCTCCCGACATTAGTACTTTGGCAGCTTTCAAGAATATATATCCTCCTTGCTTTCTAGGAACCATCTTTTCTTATATTTATGTGCAAGAGCATCCTTAGAACTCAGATCCATTGAGCAAAAGAAAGAAAGAAAGAAAGAAAGAAGAAAGAAAGAAAGAAATCTCACTTAGATTTTGCAAGTTCCCTGTTTGACGTGGCGGTTTTTGCAATAATACAATTTTGCAAATTCACTGGGAGACTTTTCAAACCCAACCTTTCTTTCTTTCTTCTTCTTCTCCTTTCGCCAGGATCTAAAATAAGAACGCAGTGGCAGGGGGGGGAGTAAAATCTTTTGCGCTAATAAAGTAATTTTAAAATGATGGATTTTCCCCTCTCTCTTCCGTTCCTCTCCTTACTAGTGCTGATGCATTTTTAATGTGCCTTGATGTAGGCTATTAAGTTTGTAATTGAAGGCGAGGGAAAGAAAGCGAGGCCCCAGCAACTTGGACATAACAAGTGCCTGGACTTTGCTTGCTCAGATTTCATCCTCCTCCTTCCATGTCTTCCTGTCTGACCCTGCTTTTAACCTCCAGTGCTTGATCCCACTCCAGGCATACATACATACATACATCAGGATGGTTTCTATGTTTTCTTGCCTCTTGGGAGACAAGCCATAGCTGAGCGGTGGAGCAGAAGTGTAAAGATCTATTGTTAAATACTCAGAATCATCCATGCCATAATATTTCCAGTTTCTGGGTATGGGAGTAAAACCCAGACAGTGAAGAAAGCTAGCAAGAAGAGAATTATTAACCTCATTTGAAATGGATGTGGAGAGATCTTGTAGCACCTTTGAGACTTTCAGTGAGTCTCAAAGCTGCTACAAGATCTCTCTGCATACTGATT